CCAAAACGGTAGCCCAATCCTCACCCCCACCCTAAACTCTAACTCTGAACCCAGCCTCTCTACGCCTGACACCGCTTTAAGCCAGAGCCAGTTCCCTGCTCCCACCCTGTGCAACAACAGTGCAAACGCCCCAGGAATCCTGCTTCTTACCACCACTGGTTTTGAAATGAACCTTTTCTTCCTTTGCATTCCAAAAACCTTAATTGGCGTTGGATGGGTTATTTAGTGACAAGGGTTTACACAATGTAACTGTTTGCTATTACACTGTAACAGGATACAGATAAGTGAAAACAGTGCAAACAACATTCCACTAGTTTTCAGGATGCTTAAACACCCAACACACTTCTACATTTAACAATCGCTTTGATCTATACTAATACACACATCAATTGGCCTGAATACACTCGGACGTAAGCTGCTCTGCCAGCGTCACGCCTTGTACAAACATTACTGCAATACCGTGTAGGGCAGCATGACCCCTGGGGGTCTGTGAGCTGGTTTCAGGTGGTCTGCAGGGCCCCTCAGCTGAAGCCCGAAGTCCCCATGTCTCCCGCAGGACAGAAGCCTGAAGCCCCAATGCTCCCCACTCCACAAGGCAGAAGCCCTGAGCCTCCACGACCCAGCAGCTGTAGCCCAGAGCTGCCCCCCACCCAGCAGCTGTAGCCCAAAGACCCAAGCTGCCCTCCTACCCCAGCTGGGCCTTGGAGTTTTTATAGCAGGTGGGGACGGGGGGACTCAGAAAGAAAAAGGTTGAGACCCCTGGTGTAGGGTGTGAACACGGGTGTTAGTCTGTCACAAGAGCCTCTTTCACAACTACCTTGGGAAACAAATACATGGACCTTTTGCCCATTTCTTTGTTAGTTACTGTGGAATTCTCTCCCCGGATCATCAGAGACAATATTGACCTAAAACAACCGAGCAGCAGTGTGATTGTGTGCAGTCACTTCAGTTAGTTGCACAATTTGGGGTGTGGTCTAGTTCACCATTTCAGACTGGAGATTTAAAAACAGTCGGTAGCATGTCCAATAGCTTGGAGTAGTCTCTCCTGTTGACCCAACTGCACTTGAAGTTTCTCCGTGTCATCATGGAGGGAGCAGAGAAAAAGCAAAAATAAAATAAGAAATGACTAGTTCAGTAAATAGTCCTTTTCTCAAAGTCCCCAGTAAATCTGAGCTACTGTCTGGCAAATAAAATGAATATCTGATTATGTGACCAAATGTCGCGCAAAAGGAAAAACCCACATCACACAAGATACATCCAGTTTCATTGAACTAGAAATTCCAGAGCGGGTTAAATATGATGACTGTAGCCTCATTTAGGGTGTGCTAATAACATTAATTTAATTATTTTATTAATTAAAATATTAATCGTTTTGGTTTTAGGCTTGCCAGTTTGTTTGATTAGAAGATAAGTTTTTGTTTCGAATCAGGCTTCCCCGAATTTACAAAGGACCAGGGGGGTATGACAGGAAGCTCACACTGAGACAGATATGGCCTTAAAGACTTTTTATTAAAATGAATAATAGTAAGTAAATGGTGAAATACCCAGAGTTACAATTGCATTACTGCTATTAAAAGAGACATATGATAATATAGTATTACATGCAACAAAGCTTTGGTTAATATACCTACACCCTCCCTCGATAACCTGGGGGGTTAGAGACACAGGACCAGCCTTGCAGTTCAGGTTTCTCAATTCTTGATGCAGAGCTTAGTTAAACTAATGCTAAGAGCTAACTTAGGGTTTACTTGACGAACTTAAACTTAAAACCTAATAAACAAAACTAAGAATAAAAGCTTAGGGAAACCAAGCTTAGCCTAGTGCCCTTGACACTTAAAGTTTAAGAAGAACAAGTACAGCCTACTACTAGCAGTACCATCATAGATAGAATAGAGTGAGTGAGTGTGAGGAAGATAGAGTAGTGAAAGTGATAGAGCGGAGTGGAGTGAAGTGAAGTCCTCTAGCGAGGTGGGTCACCTCTTTTATAGGGCAGGAGTGCCGGAAATCCTTCCTCCATTGCCCAAATTTTATTCCTCACCCACAAATCTTAGGGTACCTTTACCCCATAGGCTAGTAGCTTTGTGTGAATTGATGACACATATAAGTTTCCTTGTGGTGTACCTGTTAAGTCTGTGGGTACCACATTAAAAATCCCCCTATGCCATTCTTCATTATCTATTGGTCTAGATAGAAGGTTATAGACATATGCGTGAATACTTATTTATTTAGGTAACAAGATATAGGTTAACTTTACTTTTCTGGGTAAAGGGTCTTAATATAGATGTGTTAACTTTCCTTAGCTTAACATACAGAATATGGCCTGTAGGTCTCTTGCGTTACAGCCAAACTTACTTTAATATAAATCTATAAACCTATTTGCCAACAGTTGGAAACTGGGATTTAAACTCCAAATGATCTCACTGTATTTGACATCCATTCAAATTCCCCATCGAGGTCTGTGACACTTTCATCTCAGGCCCTAACTTACTGTTTTAGGAGCAAAGAAAACAAACTGTGATCCACAAACAGAGGGCTGAGAACCCTGAATCATAGGACACATTCAGTGGTGGAACTGTAGGAAGTGGAGCCAGTCTACCTGGGTCAAAAAGAGGAAACACTGCAGGGGTAATTCAGAATGTGGGAATCCCTCCAACTCACCACTTCTTCAGGTGTCACAGAGGTTGAAAAAAACCACTTTTTCCCCCATCACAGAGTCACCAGGCAGTGCTCTGGACCTAGTCCATATGAAGCCAGTCAGGACTCTGGGGGAGCATGTCTCCTCTCTCTGAGCACACTGTCACCAGGGCAAGAAGCTTACACATATGGTTACATTGAGGACATAGCTAATGTAACGCCAATATTTAAAAGGGCTCTAAAGGTGATCCCGGCAATTACAGACCGGTAAGTCTAATGTCAGTACCAGGCAAATTAATTGAAACACTAGTAAAGAATAAAATTGTCAGACACGTAGAAGGCCATAAATTATTGGGCAAAAGTCAACATGGTTTCTGTAAAGGGAAATCGTGTCTTACTAATCCAGGGGTGGCCAACCTGAGCCTGAGAAGGAGACAGAATTTACCAATGTACATTGCCAAAAAGCCACAGCAAATGCCAGCAGCTCCCGCCTGCTCCCAGCGCCTCCTGCCCACTGGCTCCCCGCCGGTCAGCGCCTCCAGCATCCCTCCTGATCAGCTGTTTTGTGGCATGCAGGAGGAGTGAGGGCATAGCAGGCTCAAGAGAAGGAGTAGAGTGGGGGCAGTCAGAGGTTGATCAGTGAGCACCCCCCGGCACACTGGGAAGTTGGCGCCTGTAACTCCAGCCCTGGAGTCGGTGCCTATACAAGGAGCCGCATATTAACTTCTGAAGAGCCGCATGTGGCTCCGGAGCCACACGTTGGCCACCCCTGTACTAATCTATTAGTTCTTTGAAGGGGTCAACAAACATGTGGACTAGGGGGATCCAGTGGACATAGTGTTCCAGAAAGCCTTTGACAAGGTCCCTCACCAAAGGCTCTTATGTAAATTAAGTTGTCATGGGATAAGAGGGAAGATCCTTTCATGGACTGAGAACTGCTTAAAAGCCAGGGAACAAAGGGTAGGAATAAATGGTAAATTTTCAGAATGGAGAGGGGTAACTAGTGGTGTTCCCCAAGTGTCAGTCCTAGGACCAATCCTATTCAACTTATTCATAAATGATCTGGAGAAGGGGGTAAACAGTGAGGTGGCAAAGTGTGCAGATGATACTAAATTGCTCAAAATAGTTAAGATCAAAGCAGACTGTGAAGAACTTCAAAAAGATCTCACAAAACTACGTGATTGGGCAACAAAATGGCAAATGAAATTTAATGTGGTTAAATGTAAAGTAATGCACATTGTAAAAAATAACCCCAACTATACATACAATATGATGGGGGCTAATTTAGCTACAACTAATCAGGAGAATTCTTGGAGTCATCGTGGATAGTTCTCTGAAGGTGTCCACGCAGTGTGCAGTGGCAGTCAAAAAAGCAAACAGGATGTTAGGAATCATTAAAAAAGGGATAGAGAATAAGACGGAGAATATCTTATTGCCCTTATATACATCCATTGTACATCCACATTTTGAATACTGCAAACAGATGTGGTCTCCTCATCTCAAAAAAGATATACTGGCATTAGAAAAGGTTCAGAGAAGGGCAACTAAAATGATTAGGGGTTTGGAATGGGTCCCATATGAGGAGAGATTAAAGAGACTAGGACTTTTCAATTTGGAAAAGAGGAGACTAAGGGGGGATATGATAGAGGTATATTAAATCATGAGTGGTGTGGAGAAAACGAATAACGAAAAGTTATTTACTTGTTCCCATAATATAAGAACCAGAGGCCACCAAATGAAATTAATGGGCAGCAGATTTAAAACAAATAAAAGGAAGTTCTTCTTCACACAGCGCACAGTCAACCTGTGGAAATCCTTACCTGAGGAGCTTGTGAAGGCTAGGACTATAACAGGGTTTAAAAGAGAACTAGATAAATTCATGGAGGTTAAGTTCATTAATGGCTATTAGCCAGGATGGGTAAGGAATGGTGTCCCTAGCCTCTGTTTGGCAGAAGGAGGTGATGGATGGCAGGAGAGAGATCACTTGATCATTACCTGTTAGGTTCACTCCCTTTGGGGCACCAGGCATTGGCCACTGTCGACAGACAGGATACTGGGCTAGATGGACCTTTGATCTGACCCAGTACGTCCGTTCTTATGAGAAAAATGGTACCAAACCCAACTGCTATTCAGCAGAACCTAGTGCAACGTGGGAACAACTGGGAATAAGCCAATCTGTCCCTAGTGGGGGAACCTGATGACTAACAATCACTTTGCAGTGGGAGGAAAAGTATAAACATGATGCTCCAAATTTGGTTAGACTAGGCAAAGTGATGGAGGTTGTGTCCAGTGGTGAGGAGATTTGCTACGTTACCCTGGACGCTATATGGGCTATTTTCTTTCTTGAAAAAATAGTTGTGTTTTTATATCAGGATTGCTAACTCAATCTAGCTAACTCCATGGAAAACCCTAGTGGAGTCAAAGCCCAGGTAGATTTAACCTCCATGTACCTAGTCAAGGTCACTCCTGGTTCCCCCACCTGGGACTGAGGGACATTCCTGTTGGAGGGACGCACACTTCCATGACACAGGAGTTGATGAAAAACACCATGGGCTTCTCTGGTGATAAATAAGAGAAGAGCTGTGAAGGAAGAATTTCCCACACTCACAGCATTCATAGGGTTTCTCTCCTGTGTGGCTCCTCTGATGTGTAATAAGATCTGAGGTCCGAGCAAAGGTTTCCCGCCCTCACAGCATTCATAGAGTTTCTCTCCTGTGTGGATTCTCAGATGGCGCATATGGTGTGATCTCCCAGCAAAGGTTTTCCTGAACTCAGCATTCATAGGGGCGCTACCCTTTGTGGATTCTCTGATGGCGAACAAGGGTTGAACGCTCAGTGAAGGTTTTCCCACACTCACAGCATTTATAGGGTTTCTCCCCTGTGTGGATCCTCTGATGTGCAATAAGGTGTGAGTTCCGACTGAAGGTTTTCCCGCACTCACTGCATTCATAAGGTTTCTCTCCTGTGTGGATCCTCTGATGTGTATTAAGGCCTGATCTCTGAGTGAAGGTTTTCCCGCATTCACTGCATTCATAAGGTTTCTCTCCTGCGTGGATCCTCTGATGTGTAATAAACAGTGACTTCCGAGCAAACATTTTCCCGCACTCGCAGCACTTATAGGGTTTCTCTCCTGTGTGTATCTGCTCATGGTAAATAAGGGCTGAGCGCTCAGTGAAGGCTTTCCTGCACCCACAGCATTCATACAGTTTCTCTTTTGTGTGACTCCTCTGATGCGCAATAAGGTTTGAGCGCTGAGTGAAGGTTTTCCCACACTCACAGCATTTATAGGGTTTCTCCCCTGTGTGGATCCTCTGATGCATAAGGCGGCCTGATCTTCCAGCGAATGTTTTCCCACACTCACAGCATTTATAGGGTTTCTCTCCTGTGTGACTCCTCTGATGGCGAATAAGGGTTGAGCGCTCAGTGAAGGTTTTCCCACACTCACAGCATTCATAAGGTTTCTCCCCTGTGTGGATCCTCCGATGTGTATAAAGGCCTGAACTGCGAGTGAAGGTTTTCCCGCATTCACTGCATTCATAAGGTTTCTCTCCTGTGTGGATCCTCTGATGTGTATTAAGCTGTGAGTTCCGAGCGAACGTTTTCCCGCACTCACTGCATTTATAGGGTTTCTCTCCTGTGTGACTCCTCTGATGTGTAATAAGCTGTGAGCTCCGAGTGAAGGTTTTCCCGCACTCACAGCATTGATAAGGTTTCTCCCGTGTGTGGATCCTCTGATGGCGAATAAGGTGTGAGCGCTCAGTGAAGGTTTTCCCACACTCACTGCATTCATAGGGTTTCTCTCCTGTGTGGATCCTCTGATGGCAAATAAGGGTTGATCGCTCAGTGAAAGTTTTCCCACACTCACTGCATTTATAGGGTTTCTCTCCTGTGTGACTCCTATGATGTGTAGTAAGCTGTGAGCTCCAAGTGAAGGTTTTCCCACACTGACAGCATTCATAAGGTTTCTCCCCTGTGTGGATCCTCTGATGGCCAATAAGGTGTGAGCGCCGAGCGAATGTTTTCCTGCACTCACAGCATTTATAGGGTTTCTCTCCTGTGTGGATCTGCTGATGGCGAATAAGGGTTGAGCGCTCAGTGAAGGTTTTCCCACACTCATAGCATCCATAGGGTCTCACTCCAGTGTGGATTCTCTGATGGTGTGAGCGCCTCCTGAACTTTTTCCCGCACTCAAAGCCTGTGTTATTTCTCTCTCCCGTCAGAATTCTCTGCTGGGCCGTAGTTTCCTTGAGCCCTCTGTGAGTTCCCTGATAATTAACAGATATTCCAACTTTCTGCGCTGGTTGGTTTCTCTGCCGCATCTCTGTCCCGTGCTGCCCCTGAGAGCCTTTTCCCTGCTCACAACTCCTGGACACACTCCCTGTGCATCCTTGCAATAATGTCCCCTGTGGTTCCACTTCATCATCTTCCTGCTGAGGATTCTGCTCCATGGTCTCTCTCACCATCCCCTCACCTGATGGGACAGAGAAAGAAAAACCTCAGAAAGCGGAAGGGAAAAAGGGGGAACAAACCAAGAGAATAGCTGGAGATGGAGAAAAAACAGGGACTAAATTTCCCCAAACTCTTCCCCAAAGGGGTGGGGGTGGGAGGGATCAATTCTGCATCCAGTTCCCATCCAAACACTCCCCAGGGAGAAGGGAGTTTGGGGAAGGAACTACTGCCAGGAGTTAGGATGGGTAGGAAGCCATGAACAGTATCTGCCCTGAGGGACCATCCTGAACCCAGAGACCTCACAAGATCTTTGTTGGGAATCCCAGCTGTTTCCTTCAAGCACTGAGTAGGTTTAATGATCCCTCACCCATGCCGCTGCCTCTCAGGATCTCTCTTTCCTCTGAGCCCTGGAGATCTGGGGCCCACAGCTCTTCCCCTCGTTCCAGCTGAGAGATGACCTCGGGTTTGGAAACTGGGAACCCTGCTCCGAGGAAAGAAGACCAGTGAGATCAGGTAACATGCAAAAGAAGAAGTTACTCAACTTGTGCATCAATGATGGTTCTTTGAGATTTCTCTCCCTATGGGTGCTCCACTGTAGGTGCTAGCACATTAAAAACAGCTGTGTAGACTGGTGGCTTTCCACACTATTGTGCCCCTTTCAGGAGTCTGATTTGTCTTGCGTACCTCCGAGTTACACCTCATTTAAAAACTACTTGCTTACAAAATCAGACATTAAAAATACAAAAGAGTCACCGCACACTGAATTGCCGACTTGCTCATTTTTACCATATAATTATAAAATACATAATTGGTATATAAAATTGTACTTACATTTCAGTGTATAGTATATAGATCAGCATAAGCAAGTCATTGTATGAAATTTTACTTTGTACTGAGTTGGCCAGTGATTGTTCCATAGCAACTCTTGAAGACCTTTGCGGAACCCAGGGGTACACATACCTCTGGTATAGACACTGCAGCTCAGGCTTAAGAGACTGAGCTCCAGACCAATCTGCAACTGTTCTCTCTTTGTTGCCTTGTCTTTTTGCCCTGGATAGCAGCAAACTTAAGCCCAGTCTGTTTGTACCCTAGTTCCTGTGTCCAAAAGTGCAAGGCAGTTGTATTCCCGTGTTCTGCTTCCCTCGAACCCAGTCATTACACATTAACCTCCACTCTTTGAGACTTCCATTGTTCAGTGTGCTGCATTCATATGGGAACAGTCCTTGGTAGTGTTTCCATGTAAACGGAGGCAGGCCTATGCGACTTCAACAGGAATTACATCCCCATCCCAGAAGAGGAACTCACTCCTTCACACCCAGTGACTAACAAAGCAAATTGAGAGGGAAGCTGACCCATGCATATTTTTCATTAAAAAAAACTACTAAATAAAGCCCCCATTCGCCAGAGGGAGACAAAGTCAAAGTGAAGGGCTAGGATAATGAATCATAAAATCACAGAAACACAGGGGTAAAAGGACATCAAAATGTCAGCTAGTCCATCCTCCAGCACTGAGGCAGGACCAAGTATACACAGACCATCTGTCTAACCTCTTCTTAAAAACCTCCAGTGACCAGCATTCCACAACCTCTCTTGGTAACGTATTCCTGTACTTATCTATACTCACAGCTGGAAAGTTTTTCCTAATATCCAACCTAAACATCCCATGATGCAGAACAAGCCAGTTACAACTTCTCCTACCTACTTCTCCCTACCCTAACCCTAAGCAGGAGAGGATAAGAGAAGATCAGATTCCAAGACAACGACCACGGTCAGTGGTGTCAGACAGCCGACATGTCGAAGAGGAGGAGGATGGAGTGCTGGTTCTGAGCTCTGCCTAGGGACAGGTCATTAGAGACTTCAGCAAAAGCAGCCTCAGTGAAGTGCTACAATCTGTGACTCCCTGAATCCTTACCTTCCTACCCCCCACCAGATCCTCCTGTGACGGGTTGGGTCACAGAGACGCCCTTGGGACTGTCACCTGAAGTGCTGGAACTATCTCTGAGCCCATAGCTCTGTCAGTTAGCGATGTGAAAAATCTCATCCCTACCTGACATAAATTGCAGCAAAAGCTGTAGTGTCGATGCAGTTACAGTGGCAAAAAAGTCCAATAAACAGAAAATCAAGGAAATTAAACGCCCATAAAGTACATTAAACAGAGTGAAGGTTGCCAAGTGCTGCCTCGGGCCCTTCCAGCACGTGGATGGTGGTGAAAAATAAAACCTCTGAAAACCAGGAAATGAAGAATTAAACTACACACCACCCCTGCAATGCAACCTTAACTCTGCCCTTACCCCCTAGCCCTGGAGCTGGCAAATGTCACTGGGAATAGGTCAGTAAGGATGGTGCAAACGTTAAACTATCCAAGGAAGGGGCCAAATTTCCATCTCTTGAAGGCTTCAAGTCAGGACAGGATGCCTTTCCGGAAGATGTTTTCATCAAACACAAAGTATTCAGTGCACTACAACAGTAACCAGACGAAACTCCATGGCCTGTATTACACAGGAGGTCAGACTAGATGACCTAAGTCTCCCCGGCCTTAAATTTTTTGATCACCAGAAGGAAGGACTAAGAACATGCCACTGTGTGTTTTATGTTCCTCAGATTTGAACCCCAGCATTTCTCCGCAGGCACTCCAGCAGTGTGCCCTGGGCCAGCTGTAGCTTTATATGAATGGCGGAGGGATTAGTTGAAGCAGGATTGTCAGCAGGCTGGTGCCGTACATGCTAGGGGTGTCCGGGGCTCAGTGAGTGGTAAGTGAAGGCAACGACTCAGAAGGAATCTTCATTGGAAGGGTAAAGAGGTGGTGACATTATGAAAGTCCAAGACGGATTGTGTGCAGTAGGCTCAGTGTCTGAGCGCAGGCCAGGGCAGGCACCTTCTGTTCCCTACATCGGACCGATCCCCAAGTTTTGCCTTAGCAAAGAGACGGTGTTAGCGTTCGTGCTACTGCGTTCTGCTCCCAAAGTGTTCTGTCGCGGGGAGGGCAGAGTGCTGGTCTATGGGTCACTGGCCTATTGGGGTGTCGCTGAAACAGGGCAAAGCTGAGGGTGCACTGTGAACCTTAACTCTTCATTTCCCCTTTTAAGAACGGAGGGGACAGGAATCCTTACCCAGCGAGGTCACATTCTCATAGTTCTCCTGCATGACGTCTCCGTAGAGGGCTCTCTGAGCGGGGTCCAGCAGAGCCCACTCTTCCTCGGTGAAATACACAGCCACCTCCTCGAAAGTCACCGGCCTCTGGAAGAGCAAGAGTCCAACACTCAGTACCTGCTGCCCAGTGACAACCCTACCATTCACAGGGGAGGAGGGCCAATCACATGGAAGCTCTGGGAGGCAGGCAGGATCCCACCCCCTCCCCATCAGAGCAGCCAGGAGGCATCAGGGTAAGGGAGAGAAAGAGAGAGAGAGCCCCTCACCCCTTCTAGCAGACAGAGATGGCAAGGGTCTTCACATTCAACACTCATCTATCAGCCAGAAGCTGATACAGGTGATGGAGCCCCCAGCAGGCTCCAGGGACAGCCCCCTGGTAGGAATCCCAACACCCTCCCCAGTACCAGCGGTTGGATGGGAAGGGATGGGGTGGGGTGTCTTCCCTGGGCCTCACTGGGGGTTGCCCTCTGGCTAGTAGGTTCAGACTCAAATTGGAGTCTGGTAAGTTTCCCCAGCCCAGTCCGGGGGGTGTGTGTGTGTGTGTGTGTTTCCTCTTGACCAATTAGAGAATTTCCACCCACAAATCCCATGGTCTGTTGCTAGAATCTAGGCCCCACCGTAAACTAATCCCAGCAGGTTTGTCACACCTTCTCCCCCTCCCTTTCTCCACCCTGTGTATTTCCTGCCCCCTCCCACCTCCTGACCATCCCCAGAAGCACCCACCTCCTATGTCTTTACTGCCCTTCTCCCGCCAACAGGAGCCCACCAGCAACTCCCCGATAATCCCTACCTGAGCTGGCTCCACGGCAGCCATTTCCCTTCCCTGGTCCCTGGAAGGATGGGACGTAACACTGCAGCCTGTCAGGGCAAGAAGGGGACGTGTCAGAACAGGACAGTAACGTCACATCTCAATTCCCCCTGGCTCTTTCCCCACAGACTGATGTTCTCGACTCTACCATGCAAATAACAGAAATATTCAAAACACAATTAGTAACAGGGGGGAGGACGGGGGACTTTAACTACCCAGACACCTGTTAGAAAAGGACCCCGCTCGATATGCCCTTCCAGCTTGTCTGTGAACCACTGATAACTACTATGCACCCACCTAATGGTAGTTCCATCTCAGCTGTATTTCTCTAGTAAGGCTTTTGATCCTGTCATGCATGACCTTCTCCTAAACAAACTAAAGTCAAGATACACCATGTCTACTGCTTCCCCTCTATCCACAAACTTGTTACTCTGTAAAAAAAAAAAAAAAAAAAAAAAAAAAGCAGCTATTAGGGTGGTTTGACACGATTTGTTCTTGACAAACCCATACTGACTGTTATTGTCTAGGTGTTTGCTAACTGATTGCTTAATTATTTCCTCCATTATCTTTCCGGGTACTGAAATTAAGATGACTGGTCTGTAATTCCCCAGGTTGTCCTTACTGCCCTTTTTATAGCTGGGCACTATATTTGCCCTTTTCCAGCCCCCTGGAATCTCTCTTCCATGATTTTTTTTGAAGATAATTGCTAATGGCTCAGATATCTCCTCAGTCAGCTCCTTCAGCTTTCTAGGGTGCATTTCATCAGGCCCTGGTGACTTGAAGATGTCTACCCTAAGTAATGTTGAACTTGTTCTTTCCTTATTTTACCTTTGACCCTACCTCATTTTCATTGGCATTCATTAAGTTAGGTGTCCAATTGCTACTAAACTTTTTGGTGAAAACCGAAACAAACGTCCTTTAGCACTTCTGCCATTTCCACATTTTCTGTTACTGTTCCCCACCCACCCATTGAGTACAAAATCAGAAAGATGAACTCTCAAAATAAGTTGCACCTAGCAAGGGACATAGAAGGTAATAGGGGGGGAGGAGGGATAGCTCGGTGGTTTGAGCATTGGCCTGCTAAACCCAGGGTTGTGAGTTCAATCCTTGAGGGGCCCACTTGGGGATCTGGGGCAAAATCAGTACTTGGTCCTGCTAGTGAAGGCAGGGGGCTGGACTCAATGACCTTCAAGGTCCCTTCCAGTTCTAGGAGATGGGATATCTCCATAAATTAAATTAAATAAATTAAAGGTAGGGTACTACTTAAATCACAGGGGGGAGGGGGAATCATACCATTTTCAAGGGTTGGTCATGGCATAAATAGTGAACTTCACAGACATGTTACACACCCGCCAAATGTGCTATTTACATACTGAGTAACCCATGAAAAAGTGTGATTTCTCCACAGCATTTCTCAAATAGGGGCCCAGACTCAAAAGGGGGTTGCAAGCCTACTAAGGGGTCACACTATTGCCACCCTGACTCCTGAGTTGATGCTGGCAGCGGCGCTGGTTGGCGAGAGAGTGGTGGATGCTGGCCAGTACCAGCTCTGAAGGAAGAGAACTAGAGATGGCTTAGAACTGTCACCCTTACGTCTGTTCTGTGGCGGCGCTGCCTTCAGAGCTAGGCACCAGCCAGCCGCTGCCGCTCTCCACTCTGCCTTCAGAACTGGGCAGCCGGAGACCCGATTTCATGGTCCGTGACGCAAATTTCCACCCTCATTTTTCTACTCCCGAGACAGGCTTTGTGCGTAATGTAATAGCTGAGTATCTAGTTAAGAAAAATCTGCGGGAATAATATAAATAGGTCTGCTGTGGTTTTTCTAAATTACGGCAATTAATAAAGGTCCTCTATTACTTTTCTGCAATTTTCCAAGCCTTCTTTGCAACTCAGCTGCAATTATTTGAAGAGCATCCCGCGATTCAGTAGGGTCTTAATTATTACTAACCAAGAAGAGGAAGACACAGGAACCACAATAAGGAAAGAACAGGTTAAAAATCTGTAGATACGTTAGATATATTAAAGTCAGCCATAAAATTCGTCTTAGGGTGCTCAAGGAATTAGCTGAGGCAATCTCGGAACCAATAGCAATTATCTTTGAGAACACCTGGAGAACGGTGAAGACTGGAGAAGGGTAAACATAGTATCCATCTTTTAAAAGGGGAACAAAGAGGACTGGCGAATAAAGTCAAGCCTTACTTAGATACCTGTATCTGGAATGAACAAATGATTAATCAATTTGTAAGCACCTAGAATAGATGATAGTAAGGTGATAAGTTATAGCCGGCATGGATTTCCAAAAACCAATGCCAAGTCAATCTAATGTCCTGCTTTCACGGGGGTACTGGACACTGTAGACACGACATATCTTGATTTTAGTCAGGCTTTTGACACGGGCCTCCATGACATTCTCATAGCGAACTAGGGAAATGTGGTATACATGAAAGTGCTATAAAATGAGTGAAAATGTTGTTGAAAGGTTGTACTCAGACAGTAATCACTAGTGGTTCACTGTCCGACTGAGAGGATGTATACCAGGGGTCTCAAACTCAAATGACCACAAGGGCCACATTAGGACTAGTACCTTGGCCTGCGGGCCGTATCACTGACACGCCCTCTGCTGCCCCCAGCCCTGCCCCCACTCCACCCCTTCCATGAGGCCCCGCCCCTACCCCACCTCTTCACACACCAGGGGGTGCAGGAGGGGTGTAGAGTGTGGCAGGGGCTCAGGGCAGGGGGTTGGGGTGCAGGAGGTGTGTGGGGTGCAGCAGGGGGCTCAGAGCAAGGGTTTGGGGTGCAGGAGGCTCAGGGCAGGGTTCAGGAGGGGTGCAGGGTGTGGCAGGGGACTCAGGGCAGGGGGTTGGGGTGCAGGAAGGGTGCGGCAGGGGGCTCAGGGCAGGGGATTGGGGTGCAGGAAGGGTGCGGCAGGGGGCTCAGGGCAGGGGGTTGGGGTGCAGGAGGAATTCGAGGAGGGCAGGCTCCAGCCTGGCGTGCACCGGGGGTAGGGCAGGCTCCATGCCTACCTTGCCCCCGCACTGGTCCAGGAAGCAGCCGGAACCTGGGGGACGGAGGGCGGCACAGGGGTCTGTGTGTTGCCCTGGCCTCTCCTCGAGGTACCTTCCCCAAAGCTCCCATTTGCCGCGATCCCCCGTTCCCGACCAATGGGAGCTGCGGGGGGCGGTTCCTGGAAGCAAGGGCAACACACAGACCCCTGTGCCCCCCATCCCTCAGGTTCCGGCCGCTTCCTGGAGCGGTGCGGGGGCAGGGCAGGCAGGCAGGGAGCCGTCCTGTTTGGTGGTGGGGAAAGCGCTAGGAGGGAGGGGCAGGAGGTGGAGAAGAGGAACTTGTGCAATGCTCGCTTGTAAAGTCGCTGCTCTTCCACAGAATTGTACAAGCAGTGGACAGAGCAGGCAGCCAAACGACGTTATAAGGGAGCATTGCACAACTTTAAACGAGCCTGTCCCCGAAATGAGCAGCGACGTAACTTTGAAACAACGTTAAACGGGAGAACATTTTGTGAGGAGTTACTGTACTATGAGTCTATGCTGGGGAAATGTTTGGTCACTTGATTACAGCACTGACCAGCCCCTCCCACTAGCACTAAACCACCGAGACATTTTGAAACCCTCCCAGTAACAAAGTCTGGGAACCAAATGGGAGAGAAACACAGAACAAAAGCCGTGACATTGGGGGATTCCCCCTGACACTGTCCCCAGGCCAGCACGCTCCCATCGCTGGGGGAACAGGGAGAGTCAGGAACTGGCTTTTCCTCCCCTTGCACCTCCCCTTGTTCATAGCAAAGTGAATCTGCCCAGGGATGCGACAATAAGTGTGTGGGGCCGGTGAGAAATTGGGGAATCTCTCTCCCAATTATTTCTCCCACTGCCCTTTTCAGTCTCTCGCCTTTTTCTCCTTGTGTCTCCCTTCCCCCGTCACTCCCACTCTGGCTGACAACCAATCCTGGGGGTTCACTCTCCTATGGCTGGATCGGCTCCTGCAATTACTAAGGGGAGGAGAGACATGGGGTGAGGAGGGGCTGTTTGTGCAGAGTCTCTCTCATGCCCATTCCCTGAGGTCTCTATGAATCACCTGGTGTCTCTGAC